ACTGGGTCACCTTTACAGCAGTCACTACGCTGGCTTCTCTTAAGAATACTATGAGCTGATAGTAGTAAAACAAATGCTAGTGTGTGTTTGTGTGCATGATTTAGAGTGGTAACAATTTCGAAGTTTCTACACATGGTATTGAAATCAAGCTGAAAATATTTTCCCTAACTTCATTTCCTACAATATATGACAGCTTATGTGGCCTTTGCATAATTCCAACACTACTTATTGCTCAGGGATAGAATGGTTTATCTCTTGATCACATGCCTCCAGCTGAGCACTTTGGCAAACAGTGATACAGGCATTAGCTTGGAGATTAAGGCTTCATGTTAATTAGGAGCTGAGCTTCTGAAACATCAGATACCAGATGCATTTGTTTTGAAAGAACTAGTGAGTTACCACTAAAATAATAAAACAATTTCTGTTGGAGGTGAGAGTATGAACAAGATGAGTGCGATTTTAGACATCTCACAACTAGGCTGGCAGGTCAACAAATACTCTGTGGCAATGGCTGGGGACCGTATGCATGTTGAACCACTAGCATTTCCACCCACCCCTAGCTACACTTGAGGTGATCCTTGAGGTTTGCCTGATTAATCACTAGTTTTGTAGCATAATTTTTCAATCGTGTTTTCTCTTAAAACATTTCCTTCTGGTCAGAATTTTAGCTACACACTTTGTCCACATGAAACCGCATGCAGTGGTTCATGGGCATTCATTCAGTTTGCCATTAGATTTCAGTTTTAAATGTGCTTTCATGGAAGGCTTATCAGTCCTCCTAAGCAGGTGATTTGCTGAGGGCAAGTTTAAGCCTACAGTCGTCTTATTCTGCGATTGCAAGTCCTCATTGCTGCAGTCAGCACTTAAACTTTATCAACTGTCAAAGTGTTGAAGCCTACACAGAAGGGAATGGGATACAGAAGTCAGGTGGGACTGGTGGTGCCCAGGGAACACAGGTTAGATTCATCAGTAGTTTCAGCACCTTTAGTGCCTCCAGTCTGTTACAGGAAAGCACATTCTTTTAACCTGCTGAAGGGAGGAAGCAAAAGTGAAACTGTAAAACACAGAACTGTTACTCCAGTGGGTGCTAGGGCAGCAGTACAAGTCAGTGCAAAAGTAGGCCACTGTTGGAAGCATTTACTCTCTTGCCCTCTTGATACGGATCCAATTTTAAATTACTGTAAAAAAAAGTCTGTGATTATTAGAAGTGGTAGACTTACCTGAGATATTGTGAAAACACACCTTCACAACTGTAGTGTTTTGGTTTTGTGTGTGTGTATGTGTGTAGCTACTGGAAGACACCTTAAGTGAAGTTTTGGTTCTGTTTTCACAGCAAATTTGTAACCAATATACTTAAAAAATAGAACAATGGCTGTTTATTCAATTTTGTTGTCTAGTTAGGTAAGTTTGAAAAAAGATATCATTATATAAAGAGTGCAGAATATTCCACAGATCTGAATAGTGATGTTGATCCAAATCTGCTTCTTTTGAACAACCTTTTTTTTATTTTTAAGTGTTTCCATACACTAGTGCTCTTGGAACAGATCCTTGCTTGACCAAAGTACTCCTATTTAGTTTTGTGGTGTGGTTTATAACTATTTAGCATAAAATTGTTAGGTGTAAAAATGACATGCCATTGATAAGTCTTCTTGTTCATTGGGGTTCATGAGAGCTGCCATTTTGATTTGTTTACATGAAAATAGTCTTAATGCTTACAGATAACTTCACCTGGTCCTCTAGTACCTAGGGAAGTAACTTCTAAACAGAGTTAAAGCTTTCATTGGTTATGCAGAAGTAGAACCATCAGTAAACTAGAGAAAGAAAACCACACACCTTAATCTACTATTAAAATAAGCATAATAATGACACTTTATCTGGAAGCTCTACTATTTTGAAAAATAGCCTTTGTTTGCTATTATTAGTCAACAAGTTGTCCCATTTATACACTCCAGTCTTTTGGCCGGGGCACTACTAATGTCTGTATTTAAGCAAATTCCCAATACTTAGATCTAAAGAGCAAGTTTCCTTCTTTCTATATTGGTTGCTGTCTTAAATTTATGAAAAACTTTATAAGCATTTTTAATAATACCTGAAATCAACAGGTATTTTCAGTTTTTAAAATTTGTATGTGCAACAATTGTTACTGAACAAATAGGATTTTCCCCCAGGTTTCTTTCCCCCCTCTTGCATCTGAGCCACAGAAAGATGAGTATATCATAAAAGTACTAAATGATTGGAACATGGGCACCTTTTTAATAAGCTCATTGGCTTAATAACAGAGAGAAAAGATTGTACACTGCAATTTCATCTTTCTTCTGATTAGAGCTTGAATCGGGGGATCAGAACTCAAGATTTCTGCATTGAATTGTTCATTTCAAGCATGCAGTGGAGAAACTGGTACTTTCCATCCTCATCTGGAGCTGGTACAGGATAGAATTCCTGAAAACACAAAACTTTCCAGCTTAGCTCCTCAGTTTCTCAAACAGCAATGATTCCTCATGGTCCATGTTCATAGCTTCAGCAGAAATTGTGGGTTTAACAAGGTCATTTGACTTCCATGATGTTTAATCACTCAAGTGTAAATATGGGTTCCTACAGAAGATCTTAAATTCAGTCCCCTGTGAAAAATTGAGATAATAACATACTCTTCTGGATGAGAAGAGCTCTTTTTTCCAGAAATAAGAAAGGGCCTGGAGCAGCTAGAATCCTGTGCCATGGACTCTAGACTTGAAGTAATTAGTAATTCCTCTTTTCCTCTATTTCAGTTCAAGCCCAAGGTAAGGGGATTACAGATTACCCTCTATTTGTATTTATCTCAGTAAACTTCCTTTGAAACTGGATATAAATGTGGGGGATGGGGGAACATGCAACAAATTTGACAGTTCATTTCTAATTTGTAACGATGTACGGAATTTATGGAGGGAGAGAGTGATGGTGATGGTATACCAGAGATTACAACATTGAACCATAGTTTACAGATTGCAAGCTTTAAAGATAAGGTTATTCTGGGAGGACTGGTGTGTAGGGCCCAGAATGGCAGTCCTCTCACAGAACCCCAAGCCTTCTGCATAACTTATTTTTCTATTTGTGGGGGAGGGAAGGGGGCAGTCTACTTACAACTGAATTCATACAAGGAAACTTGAAATTGTACATGTTCTTTCAGTCTATAGTTTAATTAAGTGCATACTTTTAAATATTGTTTGTCAGTGAGAAGGTTCTATCTGGTGACAAATGTTTATATTTCTTATGGCTGCCTTGTAAAGATTCAAAAATGTACAATAATGTATTTCTTCATATGAAATAAGGAGTAAGATTTCTACAACTGGTATAGATTTTGGTGTGAGTTGGTTTTTAAAATCTTAGATTACTCACTTAAATAAAACCTTCCTTGCCTTTAAGCAAACAGTGTCACTGATTTTTCTTACTAGTGATGTGGGAAGTACTAGGTAGTCGTTGTACATGTCCCAAGTAGCCAGTGGAAACAGTATAAACAGAGGCTGTTTAATACATCTGACTGTCTGAAACAACTTAGATTGGAGGCTGACTTTTCACAAAACTCCAACCCTCCTTCCTTTTGAAAAGTCATATAAGAAAGTACTTCAGTAATGAGACACCATCTTTGTGAAAGCCTTAAGAAGTAGTTTCAGGGCATACAAAGAGTAACTTCAAGCTACTGTTCCATATAGAAAGGTGGTTAAAAAAAACAAACCCAAAACACACACACAAAAGAAACACCAAGAAATAACGCAAGCTAAAGCTCTCAGTCATCTGAAAGCCTGGAAGTCAGGGTTGTTTTCATGTTTCCAGGCCTTATTAACTATTTTAAAAGTCTAGTCTGAAAAGAAAAATGGAGAAATCAGGAGCAAATTTAAAAATCAATACTTACACATAAATCAGAACTGAACATGACTCCTTTCCATATTTATATTTAATACCATTAAAATTTTAGTAGTTCTAGTTTTACTAAATTACATGTGCATCTTAAAAAGTATCAATTAGATCAAAGTTTCCCAAGTCAATCTTTTGTTTGAAGGTTCATCTTAGAGTGAATGTAATCTGAGAAGCCTGTACAAAGCTGTTACCATGGAAAATAGCCCTTATGTTGAATTCTAGAAGCTTGAGAAATCTTTGCTTTAGTTTGAAAGACTAAACTCTGTTAAACAATCACCCAAAAAGGCTTGTCAAAAGTCAATGGAAGCAACACACAGGTATCAAATGCTTAGGATACTTCATAAAATAAAAAACCTGCACTGTGATATTAGCTAATAACAGCAGTTGTAAGATGTTACATTAATTGTAGTAACCAATTTCTGAGTATAAGACAGATGTTGTAGTACAAAGGCAATGTTTAACTCAACTGCCAAAATGCTATTTAAAGCAGCATCAAGAAATGACAAAGTTGCTCTCATTTGTCTGGGACCCAACTATTTAAGATAAGATTAGTTAGGCTAATCTAATAGCAGTCCATAAGACCATGAATTAGAGTCCTAATGTAGCTCCTCTCTTGTGGCATGAGTGACTCCACAGAAACCTGTTGCCTTAGAATGGCAGTTGTGGTCAGAACTCAAACAAGCCACTACTGTTTCATTAACTTCCAGGTAAACATGATGCATAACTTTTGGTTTGTTCGTATACAGAAAAAAAATTGTTAAGATTATCAAAATTATGGACCAGTACTTTTAGTATGCAAAGTACTCATACTAAAACTCATGACAATTGGATAACAGTCTAAAAATTAGTTACCTACTTACTGCCTTACGAAAGTCGCATTCAAGATGGTCACTCATGTCCACAGGAGATAATACACTGTGGTACAACTTTGATTCTCCTGTTCACTTGAAAAGAGAAAGCAAGGGAAGATAAGTCCTGAGCTGCTTTGTCATGAAAGATTATAAAATGGAATGGCTTGTTCAATGTATAGAGTGCACCCTTTCACAGGCTACACAGAGCTTCCCTTCATATATGCTCATAAACTTAACAATAGTTACAGCCATCTCTGTCTAGGTACCAAGTGCTTGATGGAGTTTCTTTGCTTGCTTGAGAAAGTTTCCAAGACTGACGCGCAGACTGTAAATTTTGTGCCACTAGGTAGTAGTAGTTTGATACTGCATGTTGCCTGCAGAAGAACAAGAAGACTGCCATTAGCAGCATGAAGTCAGTAAAGTTAATTAAGTGGTTGTCACACAAATTGCTGTATAACCGTTAGAGGGGAGCAAGGAAGAGGCCTAGCACCTGTAGTTTCACTGTATAACAGTTCTAAACACTAACAAGAAAATGTTTTGTTACCTTCAGTGAGCAGGAGTGGCAGCACGCAAATAAATGTAGTAGTTAAAAAATGGAGTTTATTGCAATACTTTAACTAGCAACAGAAGCATTTCTTGTGATATAATCTAACTCATTAAAATGAAAAACATTAGAACAAGACATGGAGCTGGCAAGTATAAACAGTTTGCGATCAAGGTTTGTTTCACTGTGGAAAAGATGAAAAGGGAGCTGTAACACTAAAACTCATGGCAATTGGATACCAGAACAGAAAATCATATGCAAGACTGCAAGGGCACCTCCAGAAAAGTTTATTTCACAATTATGCCAGCAACTGACAAACCAGCCAGTGATAGAGCAAATTGTATGCCTCTACACATGCAGGAGAACTGGACCAAACTGCTTAGTGGAAGCAGTACAGATCACTGTTTAAAGCTTCAGTCAAGCATTTGAAACTGCTCTCATTTTTCCTGAAATGTTACAGCAATCAACTTCTTACACCTACCTTTGTTGCTAAAATAGGACATAGTATTCAGGATGTAACTTAGCCTTTAACAAAAGAAACACTTCCAGCATAATGGTGAAGATATTAATGTCACAATACAGATCTCAGTGAAGGTAATGGAGGCATTTACTTGGTAATAGTTCAATGAACTGACACTAAAAGTGATGCTTAGAAACTTACAGCAAAGAACTCCTGTTCCCATCCATTTAGGTATAAGTGCTGTGTTTAAAAATGCCAGCAATACAGGTATCAACTGCTGTTACTGTGATAGCATTGTCTTGACTGCTGAGACAATGCCAGGGATGGAAAAGGCAGGCTGTAAAATTAGACAGCTCAGGGTAATAGTTTGTTCTGTCATGCTTTGTGATCTTCATTAGTAACCAGTGAAAACTGAGGTTGAGTGACAAAGACATTAGTACCAGTAGTTTTCTGGTCCGAGGTTAGAAAAGCTGCTGCTTGCATAGAAGCCAAATTTATGGTTCATTGTAAACTCACAAGGTTTCACTAATCCACAACATAGAGGTGAATTTTTACAACTGCACAATGATCTACTGTGGCAGAGACAGCCACAGTGAGTATGAGGGAAGAACCCTGTGGTTCTGCATAATAATACTTAAAGAAGCATGAGTCAATAAGCCTTTCTCTCTCCAAACAGCAGGTTTTCTCCCCACAGATGCATGCATGTATAGAAAAGGTAAGAGCACAACTACTTTACCTGGTTGATACTATCTTCAGTTACGAATGAGAGAAACTGTCATATCGCTAACAGATGGGAGAATATTAGGAGTGAGATTTAGTGAAGTTTCAATGGATATGATCATTAACTCAATACAAAATTTAACCTATAGTTATCTAGAAATGGTCCCACTGGTAAAAACTGATTTTTTTTAATTATGTAGGGTTTTAAGCCGTTACCTCTTTGTAGACAGAAGTACTTAATGCTAAGCCCCCTTTAGAGGATTTTAGGTACTTGACATTTAATTATTGAATGCTTGACATCAAGTGTTCCAAGAGAGGAAGAGGTTTGCCCTCTGACAAGACTTCTGATCTTTAGTTTTTACTGTCTTAATATGTCTAATTCAGAATGATACAACCTTTAGAAACACAGCTGCCTACCACCTCATGGATTAACCAAGGTATTGTATAAGAGGCTTCTGCATCCCTTAAATTTGAGTTATGTATACCATAGACTATTTGTTAACATAATGCTACCTAAGAAAAGGATTTTCTTACAAATGTGCACCAACACTGTCATTGGTGCCTGCAATGGGATTCCCTCCCCTTCCCCCCCCCAGTCCAGAGGTGCTGGATTGGCACCTCTTTTAGACAGAGGCAGGGAAGTACTGTTGTCACACAAAATCAAAGCTAGGCTCTTTCTAGGGGGGAAAAAAAAAAAAAAAAAAATCTTGACTTCCACAGCAAGAAACTTGAGAGCATTTGACAGGTTTTAGAAGATGCAAGTCCAACTGCAGACTTAATCTGCATACGTATCTTGAGAAAGAAAGGCATTGCTACATTACAGCTCAGAAAGTTCTGCAATTATTCCTCATCCTGAGTTACAGGGATCGCTTAGCCTGCAATTGGCCATGTTCAAGTAGGAGGTAGCCTGCTGCTAAAAGTTGAGGGACAGTTAGCTGTATTTACCTCTCCTCTTGCACAATGGCATCATCAAATGCCTGGGAGATATGCTTCAACCGGCAAATCCCTGAGACCAGCTCCAACTCGCAGTCCAACCCTCTGCAAACAGAATGGTTGTTACTAAAGATCAAACAGGACAGACTGACTAGGTGACACTACCCAACCCTCTATCCCTGCAGTAACAACTCTACTTACTTCCAGACTTTACCCAGAAAAATTTAGGGCTGTAGCAATCATGCTCTTAATTCCACTGACCAACTGCTTCACACCTCCATTCATCCCCATGACAGCTATCTTCCAATTCAAACACGGGGTTCAGATTCACAAGGCTTGGATTCACCTTCTAGCTTTGACACTTCTCATGTGAGTTTAACCAAAACAAAAACCTATGTGTGCATTATGAAGTATTTCCCTAGCTTACAACCCTTTAATTCATGTTAAGTCTTTGAGGCAAGAATCTCTCTATTCTCTATAAAGAGCTCACCATAAGCGGAACTATTTTGGGTATCTCTGCAATACAAATAGCAACTCTGGAAAAGTTAGAGCTAAGCAGGAGCGAGATGCATTCAGAGCATTTTTCTTTACCAGAAAGGCATCAGCAAAGAACTAAGGTATGTCTCTAGTGTCTGATGGGGACTGGTGCTGAGAAACATGGTGTAAACTTACCTGGTGGAAGAGTGACTTTTAAAAAGTTCACGTCACAGCATAAAATTAAGATTCATGTTTCAGCTTTATGCAGTGCTCAGTCACTGTCTATACAGGTATCTGTAACTACTTTCCAAACTATTCAAACAGCGCATCTTTTCAGGGGAGCAGGATAACCTTCATATCTTGCCTGTCACCTTACAAGATACTGTAATCACAGTAATGATAAAAAAAAAGGAATAAGGTTTACAAAAGAATATGGCTTACATCTTTCTGCTAGTAGGAGCAGGTGATAAATAAGGGCTCTTCAGTGCTGCTGCTCTTCTTGATCTCCGGAGAGGGACAGCATCTCTACCAAGCCAGGATGAGAAACCTCTCCATTCTCTATGTTCCGACACCACTGTTGGCACACGCAAGGCTCTTTTGCTGGATCTTGGAGTGCCTTTGGAACTGGATGCTGGAGTAATACCCTGCTTACAGCAAGGGGTTCGAGGTATAGCACTACTTTTCTTGGCAGAACTGTTTACACAGCTTCTGCTGGTGGATTCAGCTGGAAAGGTCACCATAGACTGTACGGGGCTTTGGCAAGACTTCTGCATTTTCTGAAAGAAACATCAGATAGGTACACTATGCTAAATGAACTCAATTGCCTTAGAGTTTGGAACCAGAAAAGACAAGCAAGACTGAATTGCTAGCTTTCATTCTCCTATCAGGTTTAGTGTAGCATGAATGCTCCTCAACCCTCTGTACGCACTTGCACTGGAGTCATTTGCTCCTCCAATCCCTGGAACTTTTCAAGGACTTAGCAGGCATTGGAACAGAGCTCCTGCTGCTCTTATGCAGGAGCAAGACAGGCTCCCTAACATATGATTAATGCAGTTAAAGTCAGAGGTCTCCACCAAAGGGAAGTGCAAGCTCAAGTCTGCTACTCTGCTACCATCTAGCAGTTTTTGTCAGTCCAAGTTTAGATTGACTATAACAAAGAACATACTAATAAATAGTATGGGTACAGGAAAACAGAGTAAAAAAAACCCAAAACAACATTTAAAGCACTACATATTTCCCAGAAACAACTGTTTACAAGCAATGGCAGTCTCTACCCATCTTCCTCCTTGTGAAGGCTGCTCTGCCATACGTGATGAAATACAGTAGAGGAAAAGCATTTCTTAAGTAATAAAATAAAAGTTTTGATGAAGCTATGTCTCATTTTAGTTCTTTTCACCTTTCTCCCAGTTCTGCCAGATCCATAATTTGCCTGTTTATACTTTAGCAAGGATATTAAAGATTATACTAGTTAGAAGCTATGAGACAACCATTACGGTGTAGCAAGGGTGTGGGATCAACTCTCTGGAATACAGTATTCTGTACAGAGTCCAGAAATCTTAGTACTGAAGCTGAAGTAAAAACTAAACTCTATCCACACTCCACTGCAAAGGTGAACTACCTGGGACACTGTTCCAAAAGAATTTTTTGCTGTTCTTTTAACACTCTGAAGAGTTTGGCACTTCTGTCTTGCTTCCAGACTTTCCCAAGTTGGGGTCTTATGAAAATTCAGCTCTACTTGCTTTAAAGGTACTCGCTTCCTTAGAGACATGCGGATGGTATTGAGAGAATTCAAAGAAGCCCTTCTCTTGAATTTGTCCGGTACAGGGCTCTCATTCTCATCAAAGTCAGATAGAAGCTGGTGTTTCCGCCAGGCCATTGTTGCCTTGACATTCTGGAGCACAGATACCATCTTGTTCGAGTTCTTGGTCAAGTTTATTTCTAAAACAATCAGAATGAGAGTGAGAATTAGACAGAGCAAGGTACAGAGTAGCGTGAAAAAGGAGAAATGGAAATTGTTATACAGTATATTCATTTACATTTGCCTGAAACAACAAAATCAGAGCTGAGCAGACTTTTACATGGAGGCTTGAAGGAGAACAGCATTGATTTCTACAACTATTTAGGTCTGTGCACGTCCATGAAGTCTTATACTGCATTTCCAGCACTGAACATCAGACCTGGTAAGCTGCAAGACTCAAGCTTCTGAGGTAGAATGCTCTGTAACTGCAGGTTTCTTGTAGTGTCTCAGACTAAGGTCTTATATGCCAAATTTTTGCCTTCATTAATTAAAAACAGCCTTCCACTACCAGGCCAAGTTCACACAGCTCCTATTGTCTCCTGTCTCAGCTGCTAGCTGGAGACTCACACTTATGTATCCACAGTCATAAATATGACTGAAGTCCTGAAACAGACAGGATTGCTACTGGCAGAAGACATTGGTGGGCAGAACTAAAATGCCTGTTTTCTATATGCTATATGACAATTTAAACATATATACAAGTTCAAATTATTCATTTCCACTAGCTATCAAGCTAGGATACCACTAGCAAATTACTTCTAAAAATCAATTGAAACGCAAATATATTTTAGCAATCTGAATTGACAGTGAATTAATTCTACCAATACTTCATTGCACGTTACTATTAATAAAAAAGCTGGGAGGTCTCTACCATCACTACACCACATATTAGGAAAGCCTATTGATATTCTTTACTATGTCTGATCTCCCATATTCTCTCCCTCTCTCACAAGCATCCTTATTTCTGTCAGAAAGCAGTAAGGCTTACTGAAATCTTTTAATCATGAAGGTGTTTAGGATATTAACACCTTTAATTCATTCCTGCATGTGGCAACAACGAAAGGCTAGTTATCGGGCAATCAGTCAGTTCTCTTACTAGCTCACAGCTTATCCAGTTTCCTTTTGATAAACTGCTAGTTACTATTAATTTATGCTAGAAAATATTACTCAGGTGAAGCACCAAGAAGAGAGTAGCTACCGTCCCAGGGTTACATTTAACTGTATCAGACTGGCATCGCACAACACAACGAGGTGCGCCAGCTCATCTGCAACCCACGGCAAAGGCTCCGGGCAGCGCCCACGCTGGGCGCCTCAGGGACGCCTCTCGCGACA